CCCTGTATGGCCTAAAGCAGAGTGGCCGTGAGTGGGGGTTTGAAGCTGCCGATGCCCTCCTCGAGAATGGATACGAGCAGTGCAGGGTTGACCCGTGTGTCTTCCTGAAGGTGGTGGATGGAGAGGTCGTAGGTCTCATCGTGATCTACGTTGATGACATCTTAGTGGCGGCAGACGAGGGAGAGCGAGAGGAGTTGTTCGCTTCCCTTAACAAGAAGTTTCCGGTGAAAGATCTGGGGGAGTGTACCTGGTACGACGGGTGTGCTATCGCCATGGATGTAGAAAATGGCATCACCAAGCTGTCCCAGACAGCATACATTGAGAGTATGCTGAAGCGGTTTGATGTGACCACGACCGCTTTCACCCCTGCTGCCACCGATGCCGACCTAGGGCCGAAGAGAGATGACGAGCCCGCGGTGGATAAGCCTGTGAGGGAGGCGATCGGATGCCTGATGTGGACGAAGCTGACGAGGCCAGACATCGCCCTGCCTCTGAACAAGCTCCAGAAGATCGCCCACTCACCCACCGGGAGGATATGGAACGCGCTTGTGCGGATCATGTCCTACCTGAACTTCACGAAGGACTTCGGCATCACCTACGTACGGGGGTCAGGACTAGACCTAAGCGTGTTTGTCGATGCCAGCTACGCTGACAACGAAGTAGACAGGCGTTCTACGACCGGGCTAGCTGTGACCGTAGGTGGTACCGTAGTATGTGCATCCACCAAGACGCAGCCAGTGACGGCTCAGTCGACCTCGGAAGCAGAGTACATGGCAGCCGGGGAGGGCGTGAAGGATGCGTTGTTTGTGCATGGCGTTCTGTCTTTCATAGCGCCCGAGGCGAGTGGGGCGAAGATCAAGGTCCTTGAGGACAACAAGGGGGCTCTGGCCTTAATCGAGAACTCGTTCAGCTCAGCGAGGAGCAAGGACATCGATGTGCGGTTCCATTTCATTCGCGAGCTTTTCAAGTCGGGCAAGATCACTGCAGAGTATGTTCCAACTGGAGAGCAGCACGACGACATGCTGACCAAGGTCCTTCGCAGAGAGAAGTTAGGTTACCATCGGAAGGCTCTGATGAACCTACCGATGTGGTGTTCTCTTGTTCTGTTTGGTTTATGTGGTGGTTTTAGCACTTGGCATGTATGACCATGTACGTCACGCAGGAAGCGTTGTGCCGGCGCGTCACACGAGGCTGGAGCCTAGAAACGCCGAGAGCGTTGCTTCGGGTGTGTAATCAGCGTGACCGGTTCAATCTGTCCTGCCTTGGTCTTGTCTTGGAAGTGCGGCCGTTGGAATCCCCCGTGATAGCGACGGTGTTCTATTTTTTGGGTGTTAGACGAGGGTTTTCGATCCGATTGGCCGGGTTTTTCCCTCGAGCCTGTTGTTGTTTTGAGTCCCTTTGGTAGATCAGGGGTATCCATGCCCCACTTCAGGTTTGCCATTCGCGTGCATAACGGGGAGGGTGTTCGTGTGTTTGGATACGGACTGGATAGGCCTACCGGCAACAACAGAGGGCACCCAGATGGAGCATATGTACACCTTGAAATGGTTGCATGTGCAGGGACTCCTCGAACTCCAAAGAGGGCTTCACTTCTTCCTACTCCCCTTGCGTGTCTAATTCAAGAGATGAAACGTCTTCCCCGTCCAAGTTAAGGACATAGAACATTCACACGGTTTTGTTCATGCCGGATTTGTCTTGTCGTATGTGTGGTGGATTTTTATCCCACACATCGTTTCTCGCGTGTCGTCCATCGCGAAAGAGTAGATGGTGGTCTTGGCCGTGCAAGAGCAAGCACAAGAGGATCAGACTTTCGTTCCACTACTGCGTCAAATCCATGCTACAGCACATCGTTTGCTGTACTCGTAATCACCATTCGCCGTCGTTCGTCTATGCAGCACCTCTCAATTGCGCGATCGCATGAGAAGGTCATATCGTTAGCTCTCCACGAGCTGTGCACATATGTTCGCCCGTTGTTGCCGCTGCATATCGTTTGAGCAACGTTTTCCCAGCTGGTCGACCCACGTCATGTGCCATTTGACACTTGTGAAATTAATGCCTTGCAAGCAATCGTTTTTCACATGTGCAATGCCAAATTATTTTTCGTTGCTGGATGTTCGTTACGTGCAACTACCACATAGTTCACTGCGTTGTCTCAAGGTACTACTTGTACAGTTTTTTCACACTATCGGGGCAAGACGCGCACCGGAGTGATGTTTTCCTGTACACACGTCGTTCGTTCGTACGGTAGATCACATGTTTCCTACAGCGCCGAGGCGGACTGAAGTGACATGTTCCGTACACCTTTCGTCGTCTCTGTAGATATTCGCTCGTCGTAAGGGAATAGCTGCCAAAATTCCTGAATCGCTCTCGTGCAAGCTGTGGTTGTGACCGCGCTATGTACGATTGATGCTCGGATGAGATATTTGGTGACACGTTCCCAATGTCATAAGTACAGAACACAATGCGTTCGTTGAATGATGGCAGTCGCCGTACGTTACGGCCCAAGTAATTTTACTCATGTTTTTCATCACCACTTCACAATTTCATACATCTGAGGTATTTATGTCATTCGTGTATCTTTCAATCCGGATTCAGGCCCCGAGATTAAAGATAGGGGGGTGATGTGAATGCCACCTCAGACTGTCGTAGATTGTGACGTCAGATGACCTGTCGGAGATCTACCATCTGGGTATTGCCGCAGATAGAGTCAGTGCAGGTTGGATGCTGAACCTTGCTTCAACACAAGGTTGATCCCCACCTGACACACTCACTCACTCAACTCAACTATCCGTACATCAGCCTCTCCACCAGAGGTTGAACCGGTGTGCATCCACACCACCCATTCCTAAGGGAACTTGCTCACACGCGAACCTGGAGACAACCGTTTCATACAGGTAGATTTTTTTAATGCTCTTTTTGCTTCTCGGAACCGGCTGCGATTCGCAGCGTTAGCCTTGGTTCGTAGAGAAAGCTTTGGTTCATGTGGAACTATTGTTTTGATTTTTTCTTAGAAGAGCTGGATTCGATCGTGGAATTCACCAAATAGGATCTTGGCGTGTAGAATTGGTGGTTTGCCACAGAAAGTTGATTGGGCAAAACAGACCGGCAAACGAGAGCACCCGCAGATGATACCCACGAACGCCTTCCCACACCACAAAACCATGCAAAATGTTAACCGTCATATGTTTTGACAGTAGCACGGGAGAGGAAGAGTTCTTCGCTTTCGCGGGGCGTGAAGCGATTTCCGACTACAACAAACGTTCTTGTGCCTCCAACAATGTTTTACCATCGCAGAGCACAGGAGTTATAGCTCTTGCGCCAAAACATCGTCCGCGTACGTCTCCCCTTGCCTCCTGCTCGCGATACCTCCCGCGGGTCCTGCATGTGTAAAGAAAGCGGTCTACCCACTAGACTACTTAGTCGCGCGACTAAGGCGACTAAGTAGTCTAGTAGTGGGTAGACCGCTTTCTTTACAAAATATATGCTGTTTGAGTTTACCGGCAGGGATCTACGACGTCTTACACCCCTCGCCGCGCACTCCTGAAGTCCTAGGCCTGACCAAGACTTTCTCTCGTAAGAAACGCTCCTGCCGAGATTCGAACCCACGACATAGCCTTTGAAAAGAAAGCGGTCTACTCAGTAGACTACTCGAGAGAAAGTCTTGGTCAGACCTAGGACTTCAGGAGTGCGCGGCGAGGGGTGTAAGACCTCGGAGAACCCTGCCGGTGAACCCACACAGCATATATTTTGTAAAGAAAGCGGTCTACCCACTAGACTACTTATTCGCCGCGACTAAGTAGTCTAGTGGGTAAACCGATTTTTTTACAGCATGAAGCCCCGAGCTCACAGGAATCTGTAGGAACAAACCAGCCTCCCTCGTTGTTTCACCGGAACCACCCACCCTCCTGCACTATTCCGCCTTGTCCCACGCCGTATCCCGCTGCCCGGCAGGCCTTGAGCTACCCAGCCCAGGCGGCGGAGCGGCTGAAGCACTTCGTTTCCAAGGGAGCGTTCGACATTTAGGGGCTATGCCCGGCAAGGCCCGGCAAGGGGTGGTGGGTGAATGTTTACCTTGTGACGTGGGACCTAGATTGACGACGTATACCTTGCGATGTACCATAATAGACATAGACTGAACACGTATTACCTTGCGATGTAGGACATAAAATATACCTTGCGCGTATACCTTGCGATGTAGGACATAGATTAAACAACGTGCGTGCTGTCGGTGTGTATGTACCCTAGGGGATGACACAACCGCGACTGAAAAGAAGAAATAACAAGCAGACGTTTTGTGCAAGCTTGTCGTGATTGCGTTTGTCAGACCAGCGAAGGGTATGTATGGTATGGTATAGATGACGATGGCTGTGCCTGCCCGCATGTAATTCCGGTACCTCGTGTGCATGTCTATTGTGCGTTTGCCATCGTCATCGAGGCAGTACGGCGTTGCACGCGTACAGTAGGAGTATGACCTTCCTTGGTAACCGATACAGTTTGCTTGGCGTTGTGTATTGCGTGTGTTCGATCCGTGCGTTGCCGTGCATATATATGGCCTCGTTTTCGTCAATGCAAGAAGCAGCAGCAGCAGAGTCAACGCACCCCGACCACCAGCTCCCTCCCAAATCTTCTACAGGTCAATCGTCAGGTAGAAGGCCGATGCAATGGCGTGACGCGGATGGAATCTTTCAACTTGCCACGATAAACCCTTTCGAATGTAGTATTTATTTCCCTTGGACGCGAAGCAGACCAGAACCGCCCTTTTTGTCGTCTGTGCGCGGGTGGCACATTTTTTTTGCTTAGACTTTAGAAGGGTCTCAGCACATATATTTCTAAAGAACCTTCGTGAGCACCAGCAGACCGCGGCGGTGCAGGCTGGCAGGCAGGCAGCGCTTGGTTGTATTTTCCGGGTCGGCCCCGTCTTATTCGCGGTGCAATGGGGAGTGGTCTCCGTGCCGACGCAGTGTGCTCAACATATGCACACGCAGCGGCTGCTTCTTTTTGTCATCCTCTTTAATATGTGCGCCTGTCCTTCCATATTTCGGTGCAATTCTGGACGCACCAGCAAGCGTCGTCACCCAGCATGATATAGTTTCTGTCTTGATGTTTTTTGTCATTCTTCCGGTCTGCCTTGTCTTTCAACCGCATTGTCATTCATTCACCGTCGCTGCTGCTGCTGCTGCTGCTGCACTCAGGTTCATATATTCCCTGGGTGTTCCACTCGTGGGCGCGCGCATGGCGGAAGTGATCGCGGAGGAGTTCAACGGAGATTTCGAGGCGTTTTGGGGAGCGCTCACAAGGTCAGTCGACCCCTGCTGTGTGGTGAGGTGGCGGCGTGCGGAAGGGTTGGTGTGCGCCTGAAAGGTAAACTACGCGGGGTGCAGCAAGCCCGTCCTGGCCGTTACTTGGGGCACTGGGTAGTCGGCCGTGTTAGGCCGAAAGTGAGAGATTGAGAGAGAGGTGGAGAGAGAGTGGGAGAAGGAAACTTGATTGGAGAGAGACGGCGGTAGCGGTGGAAGGAGAGAAGGAAGAAAGAGGTGCGCAACACTTACGCAAGCCTCATCGTTCCAACCGCGCCAACAGGGTCCCCGTGACTGCATCGGTGGTACGCTACAACACACGAAATTCCCAACACGTATCCCCTTGGGATCCTCACGACCAGATACTGCTGCGAGTATATAATATCTAACATCCCCTCTGCTCGCAACAGTTTCTCACTGCAAACTTCGCTCTCATCCGATATCTCAACCAAAAGACGTCTTTTCAAGAATATATACCATCAAGACTGTACCAAAATATAAGAAAGAAAAATCGTTCAAAGAAACATGAATCAATGCTACATCGCGCGTGATGAATACTTGGCGCGGAAAATAAAAGCAAAACCAAAACACAACCCATCAGAAAAACAGTAAATGTTCATGCCAAATTCATAACAAAATCACGTTGAGACTCGAAAGTGTCCTTCGGCAAGCTCTTCGTAAGAAAATCTGCACGCTGGTATGGCGACGGCACGTGGATCACCGAAGTTTCCCTCCTCTCTACCAGTTCCCTGAGAACGCCTTACATCTAGTCTATGTGCTTCGAGTTCGAGTTTGAGATGGGGTTCTGCGCTAGTTGAATCCCCCCCTGGTTGTCCTCGAACGCTGGGATGCACGGCATGCCGACCTGCGGCAACATGAAACGCCAAATTTACCTCAAAAACATTATCTCCTTCACTACGCCACCAAGCGCGACAT